GTTATTTTTAGATTAATTATATTATTAATCAATTTACAATTATTTTGTATAAGATATAAAAAGATAAAACGAAATAAAAGGATTATAGTTATTTTCATTTTTTCCTTGCTCCCAAAATTATTTGTGTCTTAAAAACTTCACACAAAAGAGAAAAGTAAAAGAAAAAGAAAGATAAAAAGTGATTAAAGTAAAAAAACAATATTTAAATATATTTATTAGATATGTACCGATATTTTTACCGGATCGGGCCGATATTTCACCCATTTTAAAATATCGGTTATCAGCCAATATTATAAAATTTTCCGATCCGATATAAAATTTTTAAGAAAAATAAAATGTTATAAAAATTTTTTAAAAAAGTTATATCTAAAAAATCGAAATCCCATTTTTATGTTTATTTTTTTAATAATAATTAATAAACATTCTGCCATATTGTTAATTTTTTGCGCATTCTGTTTATAAAAGTGTGCGATAATCTATTTTTAGTGAAGCTGGTGATATTGACAGTACCATCGCCGCGGACCCTCTGATAAATTGGAAATTTTGGAATTTCTAAATAGAAATCTTCTATATAATGTTAAATTTTTAAATATTTATTTCAAATTTCATAATATATTTGTTTATTACTTATTATGTATATAGATTAATGTTATTACTTATATATAAATGATTTAACAATAAAAATATTTTATATACTTTTATAATTGCAATTAAATTGAATTTAAACTCTAACTGATCATTATAATATATTTAAATGACATAAGTTATGGTATAGTTAAATTATAGATGTTATACTAATAAAAAGTATATTAAAAATTAAAACCATTGGTATCTTTACAGAATACAAAATTAGATATGATATCGGATCGGTAATCGGGATATCGATTTAATATCGGGGATACCATCGGATAGGATCCCTCCAAAAAGTGGTATCGGTACACCCCTAATATTTATACAAAGTAAGTGAGAACAAAAAATAGAACCCCGCCAAATATAGTAATTTTTATATTATCAATGGCGAATAGGGGCATCTAACAACTCACACCATTCCATATCTTACCACTCGACTTACTCTTTTAATTCAAACTCTTATTAGATGATCTAAATTCATTTAAACATTTTATGACAATTTTTTCAACACTATTCCTTCCAAGATAGATAAAGTTAAAAGTGAATTCAATTTAGAGTCTAAAAAATTTCAAATGGTTATGGATGCAGGACCCAATGTAAAGAAAGGTGTTCGTCTAGGAGAATATGACAATCATTTATGTTTGGGGCATTGATTTCATAATCTAGTGACAGTAGTTGGAATAAAAAAATTAATAAAATAGAAATCATCAAAAAATTGAGAGAAATTATAGTTGCCTAAATATTCAAAACAGCTAATTTTGAAGATATAATCGAAAATAGAAAATGCTTTGAATTGATATCATTTCATCGGATATTTTAGATTTGGGTGATAATGATCTATTTTACTAAAATCTTTTGGGTTTGATCATGATAGTGGAAATCAAAGATCATATTAGAAAAAACAAAAAACCTTAAAATTAAATGTGCCTATACTTTGACATAGTATTTTAATAATGTTAGAAAGTGTGAGTGGCAATAACAAAAATCCTATAAATATTCTATTAAATAGAATGGAGAACGGATTTAAAATTATTTAACTCCGATTGGGACTTGGTGCATGAACTTTTAAATTTTCTTTGAACCTTCAAAATAACAATTGATTTTTATCCGCCTAAAAACGATGCACTATAAATTTATCCATATTATTTCTTAGTGAAATTAGAAATAATTTAATCGCAAAAGAATATGACAGTCCTCTTATAGCATCTCTTAAACAAAATATGCTTAATAAATTTTACATCATAGATTTCTAATAACCGATTTTCAGGTAGTATTTTAAAATATATAAATTAGTTTTTTTATTCATTTCTCTTTGTTTTATTTTTTACTTAGTTGTTAGGAGCACATTTGGATCATCGTTTTTAATCTATAATCATTAAATGAATATTTAAAGGAAAAAATATAACTTCGGTGCGATTTTTATTTCTACACGATACCTCTCTGTTGCCTTACACGGACAACCGAATGTGAAACCGCAGAAGTTGCTTCAGAATTCGATTATCTTAAGATATAAGCTACAGCTACCATTCATCTATTCATCACAAGAATCTGGAACAATAACGTTATTTAACTAGTTTAGAAAAAGAGTGTTATTCATTATTTTCGCCTTATAATTTAGAGATAAACTATGTCTTAGATTTTTGGAAGATAAGAACATTGGATTTTATTAAACTTTCAATATTAGCTAGAAAGTCCGGCGACGGCGTTTCTTTTTAAAAACTCCGGCTGGCGACGCATACCGATTTAGACGCCTACACAAAAATCGAAGGCGACCTCAAATATTTATCTAATTTAAATTAAAATTTTAAATTTATTGGAAACACTTAAAATTAAATTTATACTTTAGCAAATTTTGAATTAAATTATATCTATAATTTAACGATTTTATTAAGTTTTAATTATCATGTATAAATATTATTTTATTTAGATTTACAGGATATAATAATTAATCTTTAAGTTCAGAGTGAGTAGCTATGGATATACGCTCGCTAGCTATGCTCGTAGCTGGAACACATACCCTATATTGAATTCATTTACAACTTCATCTATCTCGGAAGGAATAGTTTCGGCCGTATGCTTTTGAGTGACAAGATGATTAGTCAATGTATAAAATGTACTTTTAAAATAATTATCTATTTCATGAAATGTTAAGGTAATATAATTTCACCCTCTATATTTATCAGTCCACACATCAAAAGTTGTAGCTCAAAATTTTGGACTTATATCAATTTTTTGACATATGTATGTTTTCATAGATAAACACACATCATCTGATCCACCCTGGTTAAGTGTTGTTCTATATGGCATATCTTTTGTATCTGAAATAATGCCATATTTCTACATAATAAAAACTTATTAAAAAAAACATGTTACATTAAATTCTGTGGGATTAGATCAGCTTTATTTAAATGATATTCTATTATAAAATAAGTAGATATTTTAACAGTTGAAATAAAAATTAAAATTGCACTATAAAAAATTATAAATATTTTACAATTTACCCTTAGAAAATCTTGCATTCCAGTATAATTTATGGAAGAGAATAGCATTAAATCCTTGCAACACATGAGAACATAATTCCATACCAAAATACATTTATCTTTTTCGGGTCAATTATATCTTTTACAATGGGTTTGAAAAGTAATTTTAAATTTGAATTTTTCTTTTCTTGATAATTCATGTTTGTCAAGTAAATGTTTCATTATGTTTGATGTGCAAATATTTTTTGAAAAAAGCTTGTTTAGATAACTGATTAAAAAATTCACAAATATTTTAAAAATAATTAAAAAATTTTCTCTGAAAATGACGAAATATTTTTACTCTCATCATCTTTATCAAGTACTATTTGCAAACACATATTACAAAAGACTTTATCTGCCGCAACAGGTTCTCTTATTATTTGTGTCAGTTTAATATTAAGGATCCAAAATGTTTTCATGCAAAAGAAGGTTTTGCTTGCAAAGAACTATATTTTGTTAGAGGATTTTGTAATGTTGCCCATTATAAAGTTTAGTCTTGCTATGTTAATGGCAATAAAAAGGAATTATTAATTAAAATTTCCTTTTATAATAAAAATAATTTTTATATGATGAGGGGTTGTGGATTGCAATAAGAAAATATTGTATTAATAATTATTTAATTAATAGTTTTATACAAAAGTTTTGAAAGATCAAATTATTGTAACTCTAAATTAAAACTTATAACTATATATAGAACAGATTATAAAATCTAACCTTTTTAAATCTCTTTAAGATTTACAAAGGAATAGCATTAATTAAAATATATAATAATACTTCAATACCTTTTAAATGATTAATCTAATAATATATCATCTTGCAGAGTTGTCAAAAGATACTTTTAAAAATCTTGATACAGATGCATCGTCTAAAACCTATCTTGATACAGATAAAATTTTTAAATGATCTACAAATAGATATAATTTTTATCATACTTATTTAGAGGTTTCCCTGTTGTCCTTTTACGAAAATTCTTATTATGAGAGCACAAAATATGTAAACAATATTTTTATGAGAGCACAAAATATGTAAACAATATTTTTATGTTATTCAATTCGAACACTAAATAAAATATTAATATAAAAATGTAAATACCCCTATTTTTATCATTCCTTTGATTAAATTCTAATTCAAAGCGAGCATCTATTAAAAAAAATTTTTTTTACATTAAACTAATAATTTATTTATTAAAAGTCAGGAAGATATCTTCAAAAAAATTTTAAAATATTCTAAATAAATTTATTTGCTTAAAATAATTTTGTATATCATTGGTATTGTTTTTTATCATTAATGGGCATCATATTCCTTTACATGATGAAAATATCCTTTACAATCTTGAACTGATATCTATAGATTTAAATTGGGGAAAAAATAATATTTATTTATTTTTTAATATATATTTACAAAAATTATATACCAATATGAAATAAAATGAATTTTGCATTTTATTTTTATTATAAAAAGCGTTAAATAAATCAAAATGTATCTAAAAACAGATACAGACCCCATATTTTTATATAATATTTATTAATTTAAAAAAAAATAAAATCTCATTTTTTTGATAATTTAAAATATTTTTAATATTATTTTTCTTCTAATTATAATCCATAAATAATGTTTTTAGATCTGGTTGAGCTATGTCTAAAATTTGAATAATAATAAAATTTACAACATAAATAAATATCATAATTCATTTATTTTAAATAAGATCGTCTGAAAGACTTGTTAATTTCCCATGGAATCCCCCATTTTGAAATGTATTTATTAATTTTTTCTTTAACGATTTTTTACGTATAACATGGTAATTTAAATTAATACACATTAAAATTTTTTTTTTATCATATTCAACTAAAGGTGCAGCTATTTAGATGGAAAGCCTAAAGACACGCCAAAACCTTTTGCTGGTAATCAAGGTACTCAAATTATTATTGAAGATTTATTCTACAATCTACCAATAAGAAGGAAAGCTTTGAAATCTTATTCACATGAATATGCCAAGATATGTGATATTGTTATGAAGTTTGTTTTACTATTCATTTTAATTACTAATCCTTTTTTTTGTATAAACCAGATTTTAGTCGATAAAAGGTGAAATTTTAGTTGATTTAAACTTTGGTAGATTCTAAACTTTTCTTTAAGCTAGAGCTTCACAGTTACTAATTGATTTTAATCGGGTATTTATAGATCTGGGTTCAGAATAAAATTGTAAATTTGGTTCATTTTAATCCTGCCTATAAGTCAGATTTTTAAAAATAATATAATATATTTGATTTTATTATTTTTAAACTATTATTTAATATGTCAGTGAGCATCAAGGGAGGGCTAGGAGACTAAAAGCCCCGTGGGAGATTTTAAGAGGCCCCATAGTTGGGGGCTTCACCCCCTTATGGGCCTACAACCCACTTATACCCATCCTGCGGCCAGGAATTATATGATTATATTTGAAATCAACGACTCTATATTAAAATTTAAAATAATTATTATCTTTTTAATATTTATGTATGATCCATTATCGTAGGGGTGGACCAGTGGTGTATGTATGCTTGTAAACCGAAGGTCCCAGGTTCAATCCTGTAAGGAACTAAAAAAATTTGAGTTTTTCTTCGATGATGGATGGCTTTAACATATGATATGATAAATTTCTGAGCCTAGAAATGCCACCCTGGTCACCGACAGGCTTGGGCAGCCAGGTGCTAGGATACTTGTCCAATAAACCAAAAAAGATGGCCAGCTGAATTCGTATGTCAGATGATAATGATTTCTTGGTCAGCAATAGGATGATGGTGACCTCGGGGGCCTCTCAAGCTCAATGTCTACTGTTATATTTGAATGTTTATATATATTTTAAAAGGTTACGCTATTTGAATTATATATTTCTTACACTTTATATTATCTTATGGAGGTCAATGTAATTGCATATTAGTAGTAGTTAAATGACATAATTATAAAAGACTATATATAGGAAACAATTTTATAATAAAGAATCTATTGTTTTGACTATAAAAAATGGCGACGAGATAAAAAAAATAAGAAAATCTAAATCGCGCGGTTTTCGGTCAAGTTTAAATAATATATAGAATTATAAAAAAAATTTCTGTATAAAAAAAAAATTATATATATTTAGAAATTATGGATAAAATTATTCTCCAGGACTTTAAAAATGAGGATTGTTCTATCGAGGACTACGTTGATTATATCAAATATATACTAAATGTGAAAAATATTCCTCAAACTGACGCCACTTTAAAAAAATTATTTATAACTTATGGAGGAATAAACATTATAACTGATATCAAAAAATTACTCTATCTTAGGAATATAGAGGAGGTAGGATGGATTGACATATATAAAATAGCAAAACAACTATATAAAGATAAAAGAATTATTTTGGCATCAAGATTTGATTTCATTAGATTAAGTCGCGGGGCTACTGAATCCGTAATGAGCTATTTAAAAAAAGATGCGAATTTGAAGACAATGTAGAACTGAGAATTCGAGATCAATTAATCGCCGGACTAAAGATGTCACAACTGGATAAAGAACTACTATTAAGATATCCAGATACTAAAGACGAAGACCAACCGTTAAGCTTAAACAAAGTGGTAGAATTGGCTTTAGCGATGGAACGAGCCGACTTAGAAATAAATAATACTGCTAAAATGGTATACAAAATCAAAGAGCCGAATAAACATGATAATGATAATCAGATAAATCAACATGATAAAAATAATCGGCAGTATAATGATAATGATAAACGGCACTATCAAAATGATAATAAAGCATATGTAAAAAGACAACTAGTGCCCGGGTATAATAACTACCATACAAATAATAATAGTAATTGGAGAAAACCATGCTATTTCTGTAATCGGTTTCATGCTATTAGAAATTGTCCCGCCTACGGAAAATTGTGAGCAAATGTAGGAAACCAAACCTTTTCGCCGTATGTTGTGAAGCTAAAGAAAAGATTTACGGAACAAATTACAATAATAAAGAAGACAATTCGGATGTCTCAATAAGAAAAATATACAAATATGGGCAACATCCAACAATTGAGGTATTAATAAACACCCAAAAAATTAAAATGGAATATGATACTGGCTCAGCAGTAACCATTATTAATGAAATAATATGGAATAAAATCGGAAAGCCAAAACTTAGAAGGGCTAAAGCACCATCTACATATGGAAATAATAGAATAAAAATTATGGGTGAAGCTGATGTAAAAGTACAATCGAATAATAACATAAAATGGCTTCCATTATTAGTCACACAAACAAATGATGCAGCTCTATTTGGATTTTCATGGATTATCGAATTGACTTAGCGTTACCAAAAAATGTAAAAATCAATATGATCAACAATAGATATAAATACAATGATAATGGTAACGTAAATATTGACAAACTATATAAAGAATTTGCTACGGTGTTTGATAATAAATTAGGTTTAATATAAAAATGTCGTACCAGTAAAACTACAATTGGAAGAAAATACAAAACCAATTGCACTGCCAGCTAGGAGTACCGTTGCCTTTAAAAGTAGAAATTGAAAATGAACTGAAACGTTTGGAAGAAAATAATATAATCAAAAAAATAGATTCATCAACAACAAGTGTAACCTGGAGTACTCCAATGGTAGGGGTACGTAAAACTTCAGGCGAACTACGATTATGTGGAGATTTTAAAGTAACGTTAAATAAATTTCTACTAAAGAAGAATTAATAGCAAAAATAGCTAATGGAAATAAATATACAACATTAGATCTCAAAGATGCATACCTACAAATGAGCATTGACGATGAATCGCAAGAATTATTAACAATGGTAACACCAAATGGATACTACCGCTATTTACGATTACCTTTTGGTATAGCTACAGCACCATTAATATTTCAACGATATATGGACGATTTACTGGCTGATTGTAAAGATACAGCAGTTTATTTAGATGATGTTATAATCACAGGAAAAAATGATACTGAACATATTGAGAATATAAAACAAGTCCTTAAAAAATTACAAAATGCGGGATTAAAAGTCAAAACAAGCAAAATAAATTTTATGAAAGAAAAAGTATCATATTTAGGATACATAATAGATCAAAATGGAATACACCCGGATAAAAATAAAATAATAGCAATACTAAAATATCCATCGCCAAAAGATAGACATGACATAAAATCATTTTTAGGTAAACTATTATACACGGTTCATACCAAACTTACATGGAATCATAGCCGAATTACATAATAAAACTAGTAAAAATGTTAAATGGAATTGGACTAAAAAAGATGATGCATTATTTGAAAAAGCAAAAGGAATAGTAACAGAACACAATACTATACAATTTTATAAACCGGATCTTGAGTTAATACTAGAAACAGATGCATCAAACCAAGAATTTGGAGCTGTACTCTTGCAAAAATATAATAACGGTAACGAATACCCAATAGCTTACACCTCGAGAACTTTACAAGATGCTGAAAAGAATTATTCAACAATCGACAAAGAAGCCAAAGCCATGGTAAACGGCGTAGAAAAATTTCATAACTATTTGTATGTACGAAAATTTAAAATACGAAAGGACCATAAACCTTTAATAAAAATATATGGGGATAACAGAGATTTAAACGCTTTAACAAACCAAAGATTGTTACGTTGGGCTTATAAATTATCAGCATATGATTATGAAATAATGTATAAGAATGGCGCAAGTAATATAATTGCAGATGCTTTATCGCGAAACCCAATAGAGAAAAATGATAATAAAATAAAAAGTGAAAATAAAACAGTAAAATATATACGAAATCTTACTTATGACACATTAACTCTATCAAGAAAAGAACTTAGAGATGAAACTGCTAAAGATCCAATTTTAAGAAGAGTAAAAATATTATTAAATGGTACAAATATACAAAATCAAGCACCAGAATTACAAGCTTTTAGAACAAGAATAGATATAATAGAAAATGATGACGGTATCCTATTTTGGAATGGTCGCTTAATAATTCCATATTCACTACAAAAACAAGTTTTACAGATATTACATACAGGTCATCCCGATATTACATCGATGAAATCCATTACGAGACATTATATATGGTGGGAAAAATTAGATAAAGATGTCGAAAAATTAGTCAACCGCTGTATTGGGTGTCAAAAACATCGCAGAGATATACCAGAAGTTGCCGTATACCCATAGAATCCGCCAGCACATCCCTGGGAAAGGGTACATTTAGATTTTGCCTGACCACTAGACGGATTTTATTGGTTGGTAGGAATCGATGCATATTCAAAATGGATAGAGATCGATAGAATCAAAGATACCACAAGTAAAAAATTAATAAATAGATTAGAAAAATGGCTTACACGATATGGTGTTCCACGTCAAATTGTCACAGACAATGGTCCACAATTCATTTCAAATGAATTTTACAAATGGTGCAAAAATAAGAATATACAACACATAAAAACTACACCATACCATCCGAGAAGTAACGGATTAGTTGAAAGATGCATACAAACTATAAAAAATCGGTATTTTGCTAATAGAGAACAATTAAATGATGGGGAAAATGCCTTAATGAAGTATTAGTTACATATAGAAATTCCAAACATTCCTCAACGGGCCGAATACCTGCCAAACTATTTATGGGGAGAAGACTAAATACTTTATTAGACTGGGTGAAACCATCAATTACTGAAAAATTAGAAACCTCTGTAGTAAAACACGATCAGTTAAACAAAGGCATACATAGAGATTTTGGAGAAAACGAATTAGTTTGGATAAAAAATCCACTTGAAAAAGGATGGCATGAAGGAAAAATAATAAATCAACAAGCAAAATTCTCGTATAACGTAGAAGAAAAAGATAAAATAGTACGAAAACACGCAGATCAACTACGAATAAGGGAAGAACCAGACGAAACCAAATCAATAATACCAATTGAACCAAGTCAAAAAGGAAGGCAATCGCGTTATCCAACAAGGGAACGAAAGCCAACAAAAAGATTAATAG